ACGGGCAGGGCTGAATTGCAGCAGGAAAACGCTCAATCTGCCTGGCACGACTGTGGTGCCATTAGAAAATAATGGCACTGACAGCACAAATTCAAATTATTAAATCAAAACAATCTAAAATATAAACAATCAACGTCCCCCCCTCAGCGGGCCGCAGTAAAATGATCAAACGTTGACCGGTCCGCGGCGATAAAAAGGTTGGGGAGCACTGGTAGAGGATTCCTGTTCATTGATAAAATGGACACAGAAAAAGAGATTGTGCAAATTTCTGCCCGGGCGCCCATAACTCTGGTTACGCCACTGCCTTGGTATAAACCACTGTTTACCCTGAGATATATAAAACACTACTGAAAGCACATTACTTACGGTGAAATCAGTGGTTTATGGAATGGGCACACTGTACTAGTTTTGAGACAAAAATAATACTTCTGTTAGTTGTATATTAGGAGAAAAGGGATTATAGTTATCCGACATTTTTGGCAAGCCTGTGAAAAATGGCTTGCTGTCCCCTTGATGATTACTGGATAATGTTAGGTGATTAAGTGCGATTTTCATACTGATTTCTATTTGTGAAGGAAAAATTGAAGAAGTAATACTTGAAGCCAGGACAGTGGAACGGAAATGTGAACCATATGAAAAAGATGCAAATTTCATCAATGGTCTACCACAATACACCGTGGACATCAAAGAGCACATTCAGGTAATTCTGTTATCAATCTGTATTTTAGTCAGTCTCAGTTAATGTTCATTTGGATTCATTTGTGTTTTCCTTAATTTGTGCTTTTAGCTCAAAGACAGTAAAATTGTGAAGCAAGCCGGAGTAACCACAAAGGGACCCAATGAATATGTCCAGGAAATAGACTTTGAGAATCTGACTCCAGGAAGCGTGATTATTTTCAGGTATTGGTTTGAACATCTGCAACACTGGAAACAGTAAAGGAAACAAGATCAAAGAAAATATCGAATTGGGGCTTACCTTTTAGCATAATGCCGACAGAGTAGCAGCAACTGTTTGATGTTTGCTCCAGTTTTCAGAAATCTCCAATCTGACTGCTAGACACGGACAGAACTATTTAAGGTTGAAATCCAGGATACTTACATGGTTCAGCTTGTATATATCCATTACTGATCTCTGGAGGGCCACTGGAGATGCTGAAGACCTCTGTAGTAGTCTGTGCTTAAGTGATACTCTTCATTGACTAACTTATGTTATTAAAGATGCATCTTTTGGGATGCGCTAAATACTGTTTTAAGCCCTTATACATGTATTTAAAGAATTGTATAAAGCCTGAAGAAGGGATCTAAGGCATCTTGAAAGGTTGAATCTTTGAAAACTTACGCTAGCCAATTAAGGGTATCACTAAAACACCAACAACCTGCATTCATCGATGGCTGACACAGTACAACACTCTACTACTACTCCCAGGCATGTGTAATAGAGATTTTATGATAAATTAAATTGATTCTGACACTACAGGTTTGCCCGGTCTAAAATACAATACTGACATTTCAAAGGTTTTAGGAAAATGGTGCATTGACATGTAGAATCTTAACTAAAGAGGTTTCTAGCATGCCTCTGATTTAGAGCTAGTATATGTACTGCAAATAGGCAGATTTTTTTGAGTCATCAAATAAGCTTGAAGGCATAGGAGCTTGTATAGAGATTACTTGGCCACTCTGAGGATATAATGGCTTAGGATGTGAAAGCCATAAGTCCTAGGCTGAGTATTTAGTAATTGGAAATGCAAATATACCAATTGTCACCAGGGCTTTCAGCTTACTGTAATTTTCACTAATTGTCTGCAAAGTTGCTGCATATTGATTTGATAAGCATTTTTTCCACAGAGAAGTGAGCAGTGTCTATTGACTGTTATCTCTCTGTATCCTCATATTTACAGGGTAAGTTTGGATCCCAGTGCTCAGAAATCTGTTGGCATCCTCCGCAACCATTTGGTACAGTTCACCCCTCACTTCAAGTCAGGCAGTTTGAAAGATGACCAGGTGTATCCTATCCTGAAGGTGCCTTTTGCTGAGTGAGTATTAGACACGAGGCAACCACTCATTTTGTTTTGAAAAATACATTTTCTGAGATTGTTTTACTTTTTCTTTCCATCATTACCACTGAGGTTGTTAGAATAAAGACAATGCTTCTGAAATAAAAGTGTATTATTAAAGGGGAATTTTCCTATAGATGATGTTGAAATTGAAAATTGAAATTAAAGTTGCGTCTCTTTTAAAGAATTTGCAAATTAAGTATCATAAATGTTTGTTGGTATGGTTACTAAATGTGGGCAAGTGAGGGGCACCTTGTGACATCGGAGGGGAGACTGGAATCCTAAAAAATATTAAGAAACATTACATCTTGACCAGTTGAGTAGCTTTGAACCTGAGAGATATCCTGATTGCAGCAACAGCCTTTTTGTATGTGTACAGACAAAACGTCAGTGTATTTTGCTTTGGTAAGTTATTAGGGATATTGCTGAAATGCATTCTCACAGCTATTTCCTTCCTCACCCATTGCAGCATTGCTGCTAAGCTGACTCTGGCTGACCTTAACCAAGTATTGTATCGATGTGATGCAGAAGAACAGGAGGATGGTGGTGGATGTTACAACATCCCAAACTGGAAACCTTTGAAATATGCCGGTCTTCAGGGTGAGTGGGATTTACTCTTGTGTGTACACGGTCCAAAATCTAATGGTGTATACCAGTTTATTTAATGAAATAAAATATGTGGGTAATGCATATAACCTATCTCAATTATTTACTTTTCTACAGTCAAAGAAAGCTAATAATAAAACCTACACATAAAAAGTGGTCATGTAGGCAGATTTTTCAAAGAGGGGAACAAATCTAATATCACATTTGTAACCTTTGTGATCTTTTGTGTTTGACATTACGTCATGTAACTTCTGTGTAAGATAACATCTTTTTTTGTCAGGTTTAATGTCTGTCATGGTGGACATTAGGCCTAAGAATGACCTGGGACATCCATTTTGTGATAATCTGAGGTCTGGAGACTGGATGATTGACTACGTTAGCAACCGGCTCATTGCTCGTGGAGGGACATGTGCAGAAGTAAGTGATGGGACAAGCATGATTTGAGCATCATAGGTTTGCTTTCATTCCCCCACCCCAAGCGGCAATACCATTCCCTCATTCTCCCTGCTGCTGTAGTTGGGGAGTGGAGGAAAACGCCATTACTTTCACGTATAGAGAGCATGTGACTCACTCCATAACAGCGTTGGGCCAGCCAGTGTTTCTACATTGGGGGAATCCATAGCCCTATGTAAGCTATGACTACAGCAACCTGTAGATTACACAAGACCTTCCTTTGCTCTTAGTGGGAAGCATAAGGAAAGTGAATGTATGCTGCTGGGGAAGGTTAAAATAAAGTAAACATGTTGTTTTGACCTGTGTATGCACAGCACAGGTTCGCTTTAAGGAATATTGTTGCAGTGGATCAATATTGCATACTATAATTAAATAATGGGGTGCCATGTGTAAGGCTTCCAAGTTCTGGTTTCAGTGTACTACTTTGTGTATAATATGGTATGTTGCTGGGACAATAAAGATATGGATTTCATTGTTTTTAAGGTTGGCAAATGGTTTGCTGCAATGTTCGCCTACTTGAAGCAGATCCCACGCTATCTTATACCATGTTACTTTGATGCCATTATGGTTGGAGCATACACCACCCTATTGGAATCTACATGGAAACAAATGTCTAGGTAATCAACAAGTAAAAACTAAGTAACACCTTCAGACAAACAGATACAAACCTATTTTAGACCATATACTCATTCTTTCAGAATTTATGAACTCCCTTTTTAATTCAACTAATGTAATTACTTCACTTTATGGAGATGTGACATGGCCACTGATAGAGAAAGATAAGTCAGCAGTGGATGTGCCTGCTCTATAGGCTGATGAGCTGGTAGATGGAGGTAGTTATGTAAATATATCGAGGAAGGATAGACAGCAGAGCAGGTTGGGTGTCACCAGTATGGTGATCTTCAGTAGGTGTTTAAAGAGGTGACAACATTTACAGTCATGTCTACAAGTCATGTTTTCCTGCATGGCCTGTGGCTGCACATGTGCCACCCCTCTTGGAACAATAGAAAAAACACAATGCAATTTTACTTTATCTAACCCTCCCAAAAAACGAGAACCAAGGTGTGCATCAGCAATGTGTGTAGCAAAATATTACAGAGCGAAAAACACAATATAATAAACATTAAACTTATTGATGAAAGAGAAATTCATTCATAATACCGTGTTTTATATGAATCTGAACCAAGATATGTACTCTGAAGATAATCTTGGAAGTAGCAGATTTGAAAGAAATACTCTGTCCTTAGGTTTAAGATGGAGAAAGTCAATGCATAATCCAGCAATGTTTTTATTTTGGTAATCAGTAGCTTTATGGTTTAAATCCCCTGTCAGGTTTTATTTCTGTGTCCCCCATTGGGGAGATTTCACTTCACTTTCTATCTCCGTCCCCTGCACAAGAAGTACGGTGATTGTGCCACAAACTGCAGTAAATTACATCTTTCAGTGAGGAAGGGTTAGGTCCTTTGCTAAGTTTTTAATGCTGTGTCTGCCCCACTAGTTTTCTCCCACCTTATTTTCTGTCCTAGCAGCATCCTGTTACACCCTGACACACATGGTGTCTCCAGGACAGGAAATAAGGGAAATCTCCCCCACTGGGACACAGACAGCATTGTAAATGTGACAGTGGGTAGAAGTGCAGAGCCCTGTGTAAATCTTACCATGCTCTGCAAGTCAAAAATTACACCTTAATCTCAGCCTATCTGGCAATTCAGTCTATCTGGCCATAGGTGAAGTGAGTGTTTGTTGTTTGAATTTGCAGTGTTACCTTTCCCCACAACCCATGTAAGAGGTTGTATGTGTGTCTTAGCTGGCCTCTGTCCCCAATACGTTGGCTATTATTTTATACCTAGAGGATACTGGCAGCAAAAATGAATGACGAGTTACAGAATGCTTTAGTTCAGTATGGGAACTACTACACACTTAAACATACATAGACGTAATGATTGTGTGTATAATCAGCAGGGGGAAAGGCCTCTTACACACGTCACTTGTAGCTAGTGCAAACCATTGGGCATGATGTCTGTCTGTGCTTTTAAAAGTATCTACACATAGGTGAATGAAAATATAGCCTAAGTATTTCTATTATACATGCATTGGCCTGTAACTGACTTGTCCCTTTCTGCAGCTTTGTACAGAACGGGTCCACTTTTGTGAAACACTTGGCTCTGGGATCAGTACAGATGTGTGGAGTTGGCAGATTTCCGACCTTGCCAGTTTTGTCTCCCTCTCTACCAGATGTTCCCTATCGGGTCAATCAAATAACTCAGGAGAAGGAGCAATGTTGTCCTTCATTAGCTGCTGGTAAGTATTACACTGTGTATGATAGCTGGGTATGTAAGTCCGGGCTACAGAGGCTGATACCAGATTACTGTCTGTGATTTAAAGTGGAGAACCTTTATCTTGGTGGTCAGTGGAGGTCTGGTATTGGGGACATCCCAGCTGATTAGTATCAGTGGCTAAGTGTAGATTATTTTCTTTCTGTTACTGCTAATGAAAAACATGTTTTAAAAATGAATGTGTTGAAATGATATGTGAACACTATACTACACTGATGGGCAGCCAAAGATAGTTAAATATAACTGTGGACTTCCGAACCTTCTTTATGGTCAGTAAATAATCTGATTTGCACTTAAGATGAGTATACACGTTTTTTATCTTCTTCGTTCAACTTGCCGGGTGAAAGAAGAAAGTAGAACAGATTCCTCTATTAACGCTTACGAGCATTGATTGAGGAACCCCCCGCTGTTTACAATCTCCAGCGGATGCTGTCAGAATACCCGAACAGAGCAAGCAGCTCATTGACTGACTGCTTGTTCTGTTCAGCTGCAAATTTTCCGAATGGTTCCTTCAATCAGCTGATTGAGGGATGCCAGTCGGAAAGGAGGCAATATCGGCACCCACGCTTCCAATTTTGGCCGGTTCATAAAGAACCGGCCAAAATTCAAAGCGTGTATGCCCGGCTTTAGTGCTAGTGGAATCTCTCCCTCATATATGTTTATATACTGGTCTTAATTTGCAGGTCTTCCACATTTCTCCTCTGGTATTTTCCGTTGCTGGGGCAGAGACACATTCATCTCTCTGAGAGGGTTACTGCTAGTCACTGGACGCCACATTGAGGCCAGGTCAGGAAAAATCTATATAATCTCTTTTCCATATATGAGAATGTTTAATATATGTTGTGTTGGATAGAGCTTGTAAGTGCCATTAGTCAGATCCATCGGGAATCTTTATAGCACCTTAGAATATTCTCATCTCTTCCTTTATAGGCATAGAAATTAGATTTATATTAAAGTTTAAGATTGCCACAGAATCTAATTCTGGTTGAATACAGAATTCACCTTTAGTTTAATCATATTTTGTTTGTATCACAATTATTTTACACCTGACCAGTGCAATATATGTTGCACGATGTTTAAGCCGAGAAATACCGTACTTTAGCCTTGTCCAATAATCCAGTAGTTTGGGTTACTTTGGTTAGAACGCCTTTTTGCTTATTGTTTTAATTATACTTTCAGGAACATTATTCTGGCATTTGCTGGAACCCTGAGACATGGGCTCATCCCCAACCTTCTAGGTCAGGGCACTTATTCTAGGTATAACTGCCGTGATGCTGTGTGGTGGTGGCTTCAGTGTGTACAAGATTACTGCAACATAGTTCCTAATGGCAAAGAAATCCTCAAGTGTCCAGTCTCTAGGATGTACCCCAAAGATGATTCCCCTCCAACAGCTGCTGGGCTAGTGGTAAGTTTTGTTTCTTTTTGATGTTTTCTCACTGAAATTCAGTTTTGAACAACCTTGTTCCAGACTTCCTAGTGAATACTCTATCTAACATAAAAGAATAATGTCCCAAATAGTTATATTTACTGGGTGATCCTAAGTATTAGTATTTACTGTATCCCCTCCTTTCTAGGATGGGTTGGTCAGAGGAAGGGAAAGCAATGACAGAACAGCCACAGGCCTGTAGTACAACTGAATACTTTGTTACAGACCCAATGCACACTTCAGTTAGGAAACATCTGAACTAAACCGAGAGATTTATTAAAGGATGAATATCTGTAGAGTGGTATGACTATACTTAAAGCATACAGTGTTGCACTCTAGGGTGTACCTGTACCAGTTTTGCAGTATCGAGTACCGATATTTTTTTTCCGGTACTCGCCGATACCGAAAGTCCCATTAAGGAAGCCACGAGGCATGTAATGACTCACCATCTGACTTTCTGATTAGCTGGGAAGTTGGGCAGCTTGTAAAGATCTGCCACCCGGCTTCCTGATTAGCAGGGAAGCCGTCTCCATGCTCCCTCGTCACCAGGTGACATGGAAGCATGGAGCCGGCTTTCTGGCCAAACAGGAAGTCGGGGGCAGGTAATGACTCACCACCTGGCTTACTGATTGGCCAGCTTCTCAACCAATCAAGAAACCAGGCAGCGAGTCATTACAAGGTGCCTGGTTTCTGATTGGCCGGGAAGCCAGCTCCATGCTCCCTCCTCACCGAGTGAGGAGGGAGCATGGAGCCGGCTTTCCAACCAATCAGGGGGCAGGTAATGACTCGTCCGGCTTCTTGATACCGGTAGCTCGGGTATCAGGCTAGACATCGGAGCATTTGGGTGAGTATCAGTATCGGTGCATCCCTACTGCACACATTTAAACTCATTCAAGCTAACGACATTCACTAAGAATAATCTAAGTTATGCATCACCACAACCACAAAAACATTTTTCAACTGCATGCTTATTTCAATTATTCTGCGATTCACATAAAAAATGGGTTGACTGTAATCTGGCCCATTGGTGTGTATTATAGAATGAACTAAGCTGATATCTATTACAATGTTAAATGGGGCTAATGAGAAATCTGGGGCACCTTTCAGTGTTTGCGTACATAGTCCTTTGTATGACGTGTAAATGATATCTTACAAGCACATTGTGGTTATCATTACAAATACAGGATTGTCTGCATTTTTAAATAGGACCAGCCTCTCTATGATGTTATCCAAGAGGCTCTGCAGCGTCATGCACAGGGTATCAACTTCCGAGAGAGGAATGCTGGGCCCCAAATAGACCGGAACATGAGGGATGAAGGTAACTCATTATTTTAACTTCACACTATGTCATTGTTAATACTCTTTATATTGGTTCTTAATACTCTTTAATATTGCTGTGCAGGATTTACTATCAATGTGGGCGTTGACTCAGTGACAGGCTTTGTGTTTGGTGGAAATAGATTAAACTGTGGCACCTGGATGGATAAAATGGGAGAGAGTGAACGTGCCCGAAATAGAGGAATTCCAGCAACACCAAGGTACAGAATATTACACATCTTTAATACAGATCATAAGAGTGTGTCATCTGTTTATAAAGACAACCTATGTTATGCTTTGTTGTCCCTGCATCCTGATACTGAGGGGTCTATTTATAAAGCATGTGTGATGTTCAGCAAACATTCTCTGGTGGAGAATCAATCTTTGTCATTTCAAACACATGAATTTGTAGGATTCTCCTGCAGAGAATGATTGCTGAATGTCTGCTTCACTATCATGCACAAGCACAACTACAGAACAAGGCAGATTATTTTGAGTATGTGTCCCAGCTGTAAAGTACGGACTGCATTACCCATATGAATACAGCAGGTGGCGCTGTCTGACTGTCTTCATTTCTTATTAGGGATGGATCTGCAGTAGAGATTGTCGGCCTTAGTAAATCCACAATGCGCTGGCTGACTGAGTTGAGTAAGAAGAATTTGTATCCATACAAAGGAGTCAAGGTGCAGAGGGAAGGTGAGAAGCTGATCATATGCCTAACATCCTAAGAATGTATATTGTGCCATTTATTTCCTGCTTTCTCAGTTTCATATTGTTGTTTTTCACAAATCTTATTAGAGGCCCTGTTTATACAATATATAATAACATATATACATGAATACAATATATTAATACAATATATAAACAAAGTGTATATTTTCATTTATTTCTGCAGCAAGTTCATTTATTGTAGTTGCAGTTTTCTGAATAGTTGAGTCTATACAAAATCGACCTGCTGCATACTAAAAGCTCATCTTACCCCAAATATTCTAGCAGAGGGACTAGTGGAGACATTTAAATGATACTTCCACCTGTATGACAATTTTGATATTGTATGGTGGAGCAGTATAATAATGAGCTGTCCCCTATGTGTTTCTTGTTAAATAGTACAAAGGAGGAGCGCTCATCCCTTGGGTAAAAGGTTTATTAGTATTTGTCACTAGGATTTGGAGGTATCAGGGAAACTGGAGGCCATTTGCCAAGGTAAACATACTTCAGCTTCTCTTTGCATTAAATGCAAATCACGCAGCAATTATTTTACTACCGTGTGAATACTTTTCTGATCATCCATCACATTTAATATTGGCTACAACTGGAGGTGGATGTTTTCTTTTTGACCTGTTGCCCATGGATGACCAACTGGTCGTATGGCTACCAGCCAGGTTGCCTGGCTTCCCAATTGCAGGCAGCTGTATATTTTATACTTACAGAAGGAGGCACACGGACCATTCTTTCAGTGTGTAGGATGTTAAGTATATGTATATACATTCTCAGATAACAAGAAATGTGAATTTCCCTACAATGTGTTTCCTGTAGACCCTATTGCTTACACAAATGCAGCGTGTTCTGTTGTATTATGTTTGAAGTTTCTTTTTTATAATTATGACATCTGAGTTAATTCTTGTTTCTGGTTTGTTTGTTTTTTTATTCAGGGAAAGAGGTGTTAATAGCTTTCTCTGAGTGGAACCAGCACATTCAAGATAATTTCGAGAAATACTTTTATGTCTCAGAAGACCCTTCTGACCCCAATGAACAGCGTCCAGATCTGGTTCACAAACGGGGCATTTACAAGGACAGCTATGGAGCATCCAGCCCCTGGTGTGACTACCAGCTCCGGCCAAACTTTGCTGTGGCCATGGTGGTGGTGAGTGGAAAATGTATAATTGCACAAAAGAGCGATTAAACCTTCTGTTTGCTAAATATATTCTCCAGGTTTATGTACACGGAGTTACATTACTCAGCTACTGTAGGTGCTAGGACCACATTTTGAGCAGGTTGACATTGCAAATCATTATAGTGAAGTAATAATGCAAAGTAATGCACTTTAAATGCAAAGTAATGCACTTTGGAATTAAAAATAAACAAATGGGTTATACAATTATGGGTATGCCGCTAGGGAAGTCAGAAATGGAGAAGGATTTGGGGGTCATTGTAGACCACAAACTGAAAGGTAGTTTGCAGTGCCAGGCTGCTGTAAACAAAGCTAGCAGGGTCTTGTCCTGTATTAAAAAGGGGATGTATTGCAGGGACAAGTCTATAATTTTGCCACTTTATAGATCATTGGTTCGACCTCATCTGGAGTACGCGGTCCAGTTCTGGTCACCAGTACTAAGAAAAGATGTCCTTGAGTTGGAAAAAGTCCAGCGGAGGGCAACCAAACTAATTAGGGGTATGGAGGACCAGAGCTACGAGACAAGGCTACTAAATTTAAACATGTTCACATTGGAGGTGAGGAGATTGAGGGGGGATATGATCTCCATGTACAAAATGTTCAATGGTGGCAGCAACATTAGCGATAAACTGTTTAAAATTAACTCCGTTACAAAAACTAGAGGCCATCACCTAAAATTGGTGGAAAAAAAATTCCAGCACAAGGGGCGAAGGGGGTTCTTCACAGTAAGATCAGTTAGGGTCTGGAACTCACTGCCACAGACAGTGATTTCAGCAAAGAATGTGGAATTGTTCAAGAAACTTTTGGACGATTTCTTAAGGGACCGTAATATACAGGGGTACAGGTACTCCTAGAATGAGATCCTAATAGGTTGGACTTGATGGACTAATGTCTTTATTCAACCTCAAATACTATGTAACTATGTAATAATGCCAACAATCATCCCACGTTCAAAGGCTGTTAAATCGCGTTGTTTACCCATATCTTCAGAAAAACAATCACTTCTACTGTCGTGGTAAACCAACCTGCTTCCCTATTTATAATGGTCTGGCCCTCCTGCAACTTCAACGCAAAATTATAGCTAATTATAGCTAATTTGCCTACAAACGTTAGGTGGTCATAATAATTTGGCCACTCAGTGTATAGGGTAGTGCAAAGAAGATGGGGCCAGCAATACAGCAGAATTCGTTAAATGTTCAAGAGCAGCTGTTGTTAAAGTGTTTAAAGACTGGACTCTTTTCGGCACTCTCTTTCTCACTCTCTCTCCTGCATATGTTATGTGCAATTGTGGCTGCCCCACTTCTCATTACAACTGACATACACGTTTTCAAAACACTGACACATATTGATAGTATTATTTGCATCAGGCTGATCCCTTAACATATTTATCTGTAAAACAATTGTACATTTTATACATTCCATAATACAGCATTCCTCCATGATCCCTCAGGTGACAGTATGCAATGTGTAAAAGCACTACAGATCTCCTCTGTAATACTGACACGTTTATGTTCCATGACATAGAGGTGTACGGAGCAGCCGGGGAATATCACATAAGTGATTTTCTGCTTCTACGTTTCTTTCAGGCACCAGAGCTTTTCACCCCTCTTAGAGCCTGGAAAGCTCTTGAAGTCGCAGAGAAAAAGCTTATGGGACCTCTGGGAATGAAAACTTTGGACCCAGAGTAAGTGTGTATGAGATAAACAGCATTGATGCTCTTTAGACCATGAGAATCCATTTATGCTAAAATGTAAAATCCCTGCCAAAACATTTTCAGTGTTTGAGTTTGTGATGGTTAGAACCTCTATCAGATTTTTCTGCTCTCTGATGCCTTACTGGTCAGGATTTTTTCCTCACTTTCTGTCGTGTTGACATGTCACAAAGACGCAATATCAGGTAAAGTCTCAAAAGGAGACAAACATACAAAAAATCCCCCTTTTTAATAGGATGAGGTTAGACAGTCTTTTATTGCTGCCTTTGCCTCTTTTGGTGATTTTCCTTCACTTCAGGTCATGGCCATGCTGGGACAAAAAGAGAGTGAATCATCCCCATAGCGGTGTAAGTGCCCATTCACACGGAGCGATAAATCCTGCGATTTTGCGCATTTTTGCTGCGCGATATCGCGAGAAGTCGCTGGCCAATGATTCTTTGCAGCACAGATAAAGATCTGAATATGAAATAGAGACTTGAGCTCCATCTGCTGACTAGATAGATATGCATATTAATATATATTTATGTAAATGTTTTTCAGTCCTCACCAGAATAAAGAAGTGCATACGCCAAATCCTTCTAATATTATTTTTTGATTAATTTAAATTAGGGATGCACGGATATATCGGCCGACGAAACGTATCGGCCGAAAATTGCACTTTTGGCATAATGCCGAAAGTGCCATTTTCGTGCCGATACATCGCCGCATCCCCTGCTTTCTTTCCTCCCCGCTGGGCGCTGCTCCGTGTCCCAGAGGGGAGGAGAGAAACTGTGATAGCCGGCCGAGCGCTGCGAGACGAGAGTGCTGTGAGCTCAGCCTCCTATCACGGTCCGGCAGAGCGCTGTGTGGGCGGAGACAGGCCGCACTATCACAGGAGGCTGAGCTCTCCTCCTCCACTACTCGATCAGCCTCCTGTGACAGCGTGTCAGAGAAGAGAGGGAGAGCAAACACTCAGCGATCGCTGAGTGTTTGTAGATAATTGAGGACATGGCATGTTTACTATATCCTCAATTTTGAATGAATGGGAAGTGATCTACATCCCCTCCTGTTCATTCATAATTGTAGTTATTGTAAACATACCATGTCCTCATGTTATCAATGGACAGGAACACTCATAAAGGATTTTAAAAATGAATAAATATAAAAAAATTAAAAAGTTTATAAAAAAATAAATAAAATATTTGAAACATTTGAAAAAATTTAAATAAAAAACTATTTTTTTATTTCGGTTTCGTTTCGGTTTTAAAATATCCATTTCGGTGCACCTCTAATTTAAATGATAAATGCTGAATTAACATATTTACAACTACTCAGTGTTATACAGTATACTGTTAATGCGCATTTGTAGTAAACAATCTGGGAAGCAGAATGAAAGAAAACAGCTAAAGCCTACTCGACACCTTGGTAACGATTAACTGACACATTGCGGTCAGAGAACGTATCACATTGCGCTGTTTGTTCTCCGTGGGAACACTAATTAATGATTTGCTTTTTCAGTGACATGGTATACTGTGGAGTTTATGACAACGCTCTGGATAATGACAATTACAACCTTGCAAAAGGATTTAATTACCACCAAGGACCGGTAAAATCAATTGTATATTCATTTCCACTGAGACGTGTCTACGGTGGGCAGAGTCATGAACTTTGTCTTGTTTTTCAGGAATGGCTCTGGCCCATCGGGTATTTTCTGCGTGCCAAGCTGCACTTTGCAAAGCTTATAGACCGTGAAACCTACCAGAAGACAGTGGTGTTAGTGAAGAATGTTCTGTCCCGTCACTACATACATCTAGAAAGGTGAGGAAGGAGAGATAAGGTTCTGTGCTCATGTGATTTCTGTCCAGAACTCTTCATTTAGATTTGACTATATATAGCAATTGCTGCATAAAGTTACTGTACATTGGATTTTGGTGCCAGGAGACAGATGCTGGTATATCACGGCCCTGGTGCTGAAAACAAATTAGTGTGTAAGAATGTTGCTAACCTATACTCTTTACATCTAAACTCCAGGCACAATAAACTTTCATATAAATATATATTAATAGTCCATAAGTATATAAATCCACTTTATGTGCACTAAATGCCCTAGCAGCAGCTGCATCACTGTGCTGTACATAGCCTGTGCAGAGCTGTGGGAAGGGGCCCAGCAGGACCCACCTACTATAGGTTACCTGAAGAAAACTACAGGAGGGTGCGGATACATGACTGGTCACCCTGCACAAGGAGAGAGAGAGAGCAGCAGTCAACGGTCTCTTGGCACAAATTATATAATCGTGCCCAAATACTGCATCCTGGGATGGTTACATAGGCAGAGCATTGCTGGGAAATCTCATCTGTAATCTCATGATATCTCTGGGAAATACATTTTCCTCCCCTGAGATGATGTGCATGGTCACATGCCCTAGTCACAGGTGCCAGAGTTTCGGAAGGTAAAGGGAGATCTAGTAATCTGCCCTTAGTAAAAATAGCCACAGTGAGACGAATGGAGAGGAAAAGAATGATAAGGTGTGCAAAGAATGAAAAGCCGGCAATGATCTAGAAGTGTCTGTCTGTAGATTGTCATTACTAAACATTTCTAAAGGTGTTTTTGTTGTTATTCTGAAGATATGGGTAAAGGTCCTTTAAATTTCTACCTTGGACACAGCCACATATATACTGTTATGTACTGGATGGCATTAGTAGCTCACTGAATGTTTTCCTGCCTTGGAAATTTTGTTTAAATTGCTTATTGTCGCATCTAGTCATTGACTGATGACTGGTAATGTGAATTATTGGGTTGCATTTGGGTACACAGAGAGGGGAATTTATCAAAACCCGAGCAGACAAAATCCGGAGCAGTTGCCCAGGGCAACCAATCCGCTTCTCTCTTCTTTGTTCAGTTAAGATTTGAAAATGAATTTATGTACTAGTACTGTCTCTGCCTTTATTGATGATGACTCCTCCCCCGCAGATCCTCCTGGAAAGGTCTCCCTGAACTCACCAATGAGAATGGCCAATATTGCTCATTCAGCTGTGAGACGCAGGCCTGGTCCCTGTCCGTAGTACTGGAAGTTCTGCATGACCTTTAGATATAATGTTCATCTTGTAGGATCCGTGAATTATTGATAGTTCTGCAACTTTCTTCTGAAGAGGATCTTTCTGTATGCTGAAGAGGACTGATACCCCTAAATATCTGCTAGCTGGTGACTTTACTGTAATGGGAAACCCATATAACAGAGACACTTACTGTGCACGCTTAGTCACTGAAACAAATATGAAATGCTTTGTTTACTTTGCACATTACACTTCTCTCATCAGTCATACAATAATCATGTTTGTGCCACACATCCAGGATCCGCAGCCCTCCATTGTATACAATGTTTCTTTTCTTACTCTTCTTAATAAATGTAAATAAAGTCACAGAGACCCTGATGCTTAGGACGCTCTATTGTACGTCATGGCGTATGGGAGGTCCCTGATGGGCGGTCTCTGAGGGTCAGTGTTGTGAATAGGGATCAGACATTCTTAGAATTATGACAATTGAATGATTAGATAAATGGATTGCAGTCTGGTGACACCGAAGAAGGTGCAAATAACAAAACTGTGTTTAATTTTGTCTGTTACATCATATACTATATCGTCGTCTTCCTGGCCATATAGTCATGGCAGAAGTGTGTGTGGTCAGAACAAATAGAACGTTTGAGGCTCTGCATAGCTCATGTTAATGAGGTCGTGTTAAGGCTTGTTGTTTACAGTCTGCTGTATACCTGTGCAATAAACTATATAACAGTCACTGGTTCGGGTTGACTTTTCATTGACTTTAATGCTGAACTCCTAGACAAACTGCTGAAAGCAAATGAAATACCTATACGGCAGCTGTTTTACCTGTCCAAAGATTTGCTTTTCTGTCCATCCAGTTCTGAGATTCACACAGCTATAGCACCCAGCACAGTCCTGGAGACCTGATTTTTGCTGCAATTAGGTCAAATTAAAGTAGTATTAAACTCTCCAACATTTTTTTCAATAATGAATCCAGATCAAACAAATATACATTACCCATCAAAATATTTCTCTACATTTGTGCCCGAGTCACTTACCGCCATCATGTTTCTAAACAGCTGGTTCCATCTCTCTTAGCTTGGCTTCCCTGAACTTCCTGTTGAGTACAAGGGACAGAGCAGTCTGCAGTAGCTCCCCATCTACTAGCTTGGAGAAGGAAGGAGCAGGGTAGTGTCTGCCTTGCTATGCCTGTGTGGGGACACACATAGCTTACTAGCAGACACAAGGGTGGTTCCATAGGACCCTGCAAGGGAAACAATATCAGTGCTCAGGTCACCAGCTGGTTCTGCAGGAAGACAAAACTTTTAAACATCAGGGAGCAGCATCCATTGTAAGTGGTTTAGCCAGCATTTGAAAAATAAAAAAACGTTTGACTTTAGGCGCTGTTCACACCAGGGAGTAGCGGAGGTGCGTATTGCGGGAACATGCATTTCTGCACATTTGCCGGACTTTGTTTTCCAAATTTGCCGCATGTCCCCATTGGATCCCTGGACGTGCTCCAACTGCGGAAAATAAGTACATGTTGCAAATTTGGCGACAGGCGCTCAGCGTTTTTCCCCGCACATTCGTGCAGTCTGCTCTGGTGCGTTTGGGGTTCCATTACCTAGTAATGGCAATGCAAACGCGTCCTGCGTTTGTGCACATATCATGAAAGACTCACGATATGCCTTGATGTGAACAGGGCCTTAATTGGGTGCAAAAATTGAAAAAAGGGCCTCAGTCATGAAGGGGTTAACAGGTCTTGTCCCTCTCCCAGCCTGTGACTGAACAGTAAAAGGAGAAGCAGCAGACTGATGAGCTCATCTCACCGTCACAACTCACTGACTCATTGTGCTGCTTCTCCATCCTCCAGTCTGAGCTCTACTGTGCATACACTGTAAGAGGTCAATACCAGGGCAAATTCTGGTACGCTACTAAATATATTTTATGAGATATCATCCATTTGTGTCTTTTATATCTGCCTGGAGCTCAGCTTTAATAATGACCTGAAATTATGTACAGAAAGGGGTCTATGTACAAAGCAGTGAATGTGACTTTCACCAGGCATTCTTTGGCGCAGAATGAATCGCTGTCAATTAAAGTGCATGGACCTAGAAGATTCAACTGCTGAGCATGTTTTAGGGCAGCACAGTGGCATAGTGGTTAGCACTTCTGCCTTGCAGCACTGGGGGTCCCTGGTTCAAATCCCGGCCAGGTCACTATCTCCAAGGAGTTTGCATGATCTCCCTGTGCTTGCGTGGGTTTCCGCCGGGTACTCTGGTTTCCTCCCACACTCCAAAGACATGCTGGAAGGTAAATTGGCTCCTGTCTAAATTGGCCCTATGTATGCATGTGATATAGTGACCTTAGATTGTAAGCTCCTTGAGGGCAGGGACTGATGTGAAACTATGTATAAGCACTGCTATATAAATACCTGTAATAAATAAAAATGTTTTCTAAATGTCAGATTCACTGCTTTATAACTAGCTCCTTACAGTATTGTGGTTTTACTAGATTATACCATAGCCTTTGGAAATATGTATATGTGGTAACATGGACTGACCAGAACTTCCCTACACCACCACAAACTGTGACAGCAAATAGAAGTTAACTGTTGGAGAGAATGCATATTCATATTAATGGAAAACATACACCTTGAAAGATGAACTGCAACTTCTCACTATTTTATGGTAGATCTCCTTACCCAAGATCCGTTCCTGTCCCTAGGCGCATATTAAAGGTTGAAGAATAACTCTTAGTGAGTCCATTGGCATCACCAGCTCATAATAATTATATAGCAGTCATAGCTAACAAACGATGAATATGCTTATATTGTGCCTTCCTTGGTCGGTCCCACTCCTCTTCAATGTGCTAACTTAATTTTTGAATAAAACCTTTTCATTACATATCTTATTTTAGACCAAGCGATGTCTAAAAATGGCTCTTTGATTCTCTATGATATGCTGGCAGATCATGCTGCTTAGGGCTTATATAAACCAGAGCACAGTGCACCGCCATGCATGCTTCTTTGTGCATTCAGGTGCATTTTATTAAACAGCCCATTCATAATAAATGGCCTTTTAATGCACAAAATGTAGTGTGCTGCATTTTTATAGCGCAGTGCATATTGTGATGTGCTGTAGTGCTGGTGGATTGAGTTGACATTTATTTGTTCTACTGTGTGCATGGAGGACAAAGGCAACTTCTGTATTATCTCAGGAAGGGTCTCTTAAAGCAGGTTCTAAACATGTACAGATACTATTCATATTTTCAAACAGCTAAAATACTAACATTTCCAATAAAAAAAAATGAAAATTAAATATGTAATCTGTCCTTTATATGTGATGTACCCTGCTGCCTCGTCAGAAGTACCCTCTAGGGTCCTGGTGTCC